TTTCTCACTTGTAGCTTATTGAAATAAAGCATTCTGTGCAAAGAGCAGATTCTACACTTTTATTCAATAATATTGTCATATTTTTGTCATTTTCTTACAGTGAAACAACTGGAAAAATGTCAGAAGCACGGATTCATGTCTAAATCTAAGAATGTAAATTAGAAAGGAGTGATAGTGGGGGAGCATTTTTTTCATTATGTAATGCAATAATGTGCTGACTATCAATCATTAATCAGCAAAGATGAAGACCAGTGCTACTGTTTTTAACATGTAGAAGTGTCCTGTTGCAAATAAGACATTATTTTGACAGAATAAAAATTTGAGTAAATAAGCCGTTATTTTAACATAATCAAAATCTTGCAATAATAAGCAATTATTTCAACATAACCAGTCAATATTTTGAAAAAAATAAGCCATTATTTCATTGTAATCAGTCAACATTCTGAGAAAATAAGCCATTATTTCAACAAAATTAGTCAAGGTTTTGAAAAAATAAGCCATTATTTCCACGTAATCAGTTGACATTTTGAGAAAAAGAGCCATTATTTTAACATAATCAGTCCACATTTTAAGTAAACAAGACATTCTTTTGACATAATCAAAATCTTGAGAATCTACTCTTTTGTGTTGTGGCATGTCTTATTCCTGCTTAAATATTGCACCAAGTGTGCAGCATTTTCACTTATCTCCTTCTCAAATAACAGGTTTTATTAAAGGCTGATAAAATTACAGAAGAAATTCTGTAAACTCATGATCACGTCGTTCTTTCACTTGGAAGTTAAATTTTGGTTTGTATTAGCAAACGAATGTATAGCCTATATAATAGTCTAACACTTTATAATCACTTTATAATTAGCATAAATACATAACATGTAAAAGCAAAGTTACAAAAAAGAATTAACTCATTGTAAATAGCTGCGAAGCAACCAAACGTGAACAACACTGTTCTGTTAATAAAGGCCAATACATGACAACAAAACCAACGAAAGGCAAGTCTGACGTGACAGTCATTTCCAATCGTGACTAATGCAGGCGGAAACCAGCCATACGGGAGTGCTGGCATGAGCGGGACAAAATGCTTAAGCCTGAATTATACTGTAGCAACTGAGTGTCGACTGCACACAAACCTTACGTGAAGATGTAGTGTTTAGTTACCGCTTCTGTCGTTGCAATTTTCTATATGATCTGATATGATAGAGATCTCACTGGAGCACCTGTAGAAGCAAACCTGCTCAGTAGATCACCGTTCAAATTCACTTGTTTGGAATAAACGCAGCCTGCACGGTGTGCACCAAGCTACAAAAATTGGGAGTTGCACGAACACATACTGCAAGTTACAACACCTCAAGTGTAAGCCTAGGTTGTGGGCAGGGGCAGGGCAAACGGTGCAGATTTTCTGTGTGAGCAGGCGAGAGCAGGACAAAATGGTCCCATGCAGACCTCTAGTTCAAATAAAAAGTGGTGAAGCAAACGTGTGTTTGATCCCTCTCTAATAAAAGTAGAAATGTGTAGCTCCATTGCTCAGGTGCCTCAGGAAAATTCATGTCTTTATAGTTATTTTTAGAAGCATTACTTTATAAAGAGTTCACTAAAGTTAGTTAGGGTGCTAACGCTAATGCCTTTTTCATTTATCCTAGCCTCCACAGAATGAGTGCTTTTGCTTATATTTTTACACCTGACAGAGAAAAATATAAGCTTTGTTTGACATGATTCAGTGTAATCGTTGACATTAGTGTGAGTTAGTGTGTGCACAACTGTGCAGTATACTGTTGTATATCAGCCAATAAGTTAAGCTCATTTGCAAACAAGGTAGCTAATTAGCCAAATTAAGTTTAGAGGAGCCTAAAATGACCAAAATAAAATTAAACATTTCATTTTGATTATTCTGATAGTTGAACCAGAATTAGAACTGTATGTTCAAGTGGCTTTTGTTTGGGTCATGTTTTTGAATGTGCAGTAGAAAAATGCGAATGAATTTGCAAAATCTGTGAAAGTGTGCTTAAGGATTTGATTAAGTATATGGATGCATCTGAAGTACACACTGTAGAGCTCAATAGGAGCACTAAAATACTGCTAAACATTAATGAACACACACACGCATTATCTAAGTCGCTTATCCTTCTGGGTCACAGGGGGAGCTGGAGCCTATCTCTGGGGTCATTGGGCAGATGGCAGGAAACACCCTGGACAGGTCACCAGTCCATCAAAGGACAGACAGACAGACATATACATTCATACACACACTCACACCTAGGGGCAATTTAGCACGTCCAATCAGCTTTGCTGTATGTCTTTGGACTGTGGGAAGAAACCGGAGACCATCGTGCTGTGAGGCAACAGCGCAAATAGTAAACATGAGGAAATTACATAAAGATGCAGGAAATAGGTTTAATTCAGTAATGTTTCTTTATTTAATGTAGAAAGATATCAGAAAACTGAAAAAAACAACAAAACCAGTATCATTATAGACATGGGAAAAGTCCTAATGATATCCATGCTTGTAAAACTCTCTAAAGTTCTCTATTACATGAAATTGTCCTAAATTGATGCTACACTATTCCCACTGTGTTTGAATTAATAAGGAAATAGCTTATTAGCTGCAGAGAGAGAAAGAGCAGGGTCAACAGTGTTGGGCCTGTGGTGTGGTGGCCTACATCTAATGCACAATAACCACATCCATCAGGGATCTGATCAAACCGCCTGAGTTCCTGCTATTCTTCTTAATAATATGCAGGGTCAGTATAAACTTTATGCAAGCAACAATTACAAGAGGCACCAGAGGGGTTACATCTGATTGAAGCGGCAATTTAAAATGAGCCTCAAGTGTGAGGAAGCAACAGCTTATTTGGTATTAACGAAAGTGTTATCATCCTTAATCATACGGGTGAAGAGAGGCACACTCCAGTTTCATCATCTGGAGATATTTCACCGTGCCTCTTTGATATTTTGCTGTTCTGCAGGCTGCTGGTTACAGACGACAGGATTTAACTTTACACGGTAGCTGAGGCCACGTACAGTAAATGGAACAACAGATGTATGAGACGACATGCACAAGCGTAGTCTCTGTAGCTGTGAAAAAGTACTTGCCCCCTTCAGATATCCCATAATTTTGGATATTTGTCATGCTAAATGACATGAGGACGCACAAAACAAAGTTTTTAAATGATCATTTATTGAAAGAAAAAAGTTTCTCAACACCTATATCGTCCCATGTGAAAAAGTAAACTGAACAAAAAACTGAACAACCTTTAGCAACACCTTTAGCAACAACCACCTTTAGCAACAAAAACTGCTACCAAATACTTCCTACAATTCAAGATCAATCTTTCGCATCACTGTTGAGGAATTTTGACGCACTCTTTGTTACAGAATTGCTTCCACACTGGAGGCTTTTGAGCACAAACTACTATTTTGTAAGGTACTGCTACAGCATCCCAATGAGGCTGAAGTCAGGACTTTGACGAAGCCATTCCAAAACCTTCATTTTGTTTCTTTTGAGCCATTAAGAGGTGGACTTGTTCTTATGCTTCAGATTGCTGTCTTACTGTCGAACTCAACTGCGCTTGACCAGACATTCACTTGCATGATTTTCTGGTACATAGCAGAATTCATGGTTCCATCAATTGTGGCAAGTCCCCCAGACCATAAAACAGCAAAGCATCCCTTCACCATAATACTAAGACCACCATGTTTGACTGTTGGTATGATGTTCTTATTGTGGAATGCTGTATTAGCTTTATGCAAGATTTAATGGGACTGCGATCTTCCAAAAAGTTCCACTTTGCACTCAGCAGTCCACAGAACATCATCAAAGTGTTTTTTTGGCATGAGACAAGCCTTTATGTTCCTCTTTGTTATCAGTGGTTTTTACCCTACAACTCTCCCTGGATGCCCAGTCTCTTTCTAATGGTGCAATCATGTACCATGACCCTATCTGAGGCAAGTGAGACCTACTGTTCCTTAGATATTCCACTGGCTTCTTTTGTGACTCCCTGGATGAGTTGTTGTACCTGACCTCATTAATGCTCTTGTGGCTAAATGCAATCAAATCCGCACAGCAATGTTCCAACATCTAGTGTAAAGTCTTCCCAGCAGAGTACAGGCTGTTAGTGCAGTAAAAGGAGGGCAAACTCCTTATTTAACACTCTTGACTTTCAGGAGAAATATCATGTGTCTACAAACTTTTAGACATTATTTGTGTCTTTTGTGATTTTGTTTAATGTTAAGGCTACTGCAGTACAGGAAAACCGCTGATGACCAGTCAGAACAGTAACTGTTTTAATACTGGCAATCATGCTTTCTTAGCTTTTTTCCATAGATAAATAAATATATAAATAAATAAACTTGCCTGAATATTTGCATATAGATGAGCAGACCCAAGCATCTGTGTGAACATCTCTACTGCAACTGCTACCTAGAGCACACAGTGGAGCTCCCAGGTCTGCTTTAAAAAGCTTATGTCAAAAAAACACAAACGTAAACCCCAAAAAATACTGGGATGAAGATATGAGTTCAAGACACTAGATCAGAGCACTATTCCCTTTTTAAACCTTTTGACCAGTCAAAGAAAGATTTTTATGAGCAACTCTGCATCATGTGTGTGTCACTATCCATAAGCTGCAAAGCAACATTTTACATATTATGAAACTCAAATGTATTCTGCACAAGCTGAGTATATGCTCCAGGGAACTGCACCATGCAAATGCGCCGTGGAACTGGGCCGCAAAATTGAATTTTATATGTGAACACACACTAAAAAACTCAAATACACCAGAATACATATAACTGCTCAGGCTACTGTCTACAGGTATCACAGTAAGTGCCACAGATTTGAGACCAAATGAAAAAAGCATTCAGTCAGAGTCACTGACTCACTGAATTTAAATACAGACACACTGAATCACTGCTGTTCCAAACCAATTCAATTAAATTACAGCGATGCTGAGTTTAACAAGCGATTCAGTAATTTGTAGTTAATGAATCAGAACGTATGTACTCACGATAATGTTCTCTCCATGCGACTGCCTGTGGAGCCAATGATCTCTCCAAGTGTGCAAAACGTCTGGCCCAGGAAATCCTAAACCAACAGGCTCATATTAACAGATGTTCACTTCTGGAGATGAAAACATATCATCGATGTCAAAACGAAATCTTGTACCTCCATTTTGTCATTTTTTAGGGTTTTATATCATTTTAAAATCTTTTACATCATGTAAAAATTTCATAATGAATGGACCAATCGAAATGGGCCAAAATTATTTGAAATACAATCTTGTTACATTAAGTTACATTAAAAGTTACGAATGTTTTTTTATTCTCTGGTAAAGTGGCAATTTTGGAGATACAATGTTCTGTCTTGGCAGTGACAATATATTGGGAAATATTGCAATTATTACAAAATATATCTATAAAATACTGAGGCAAATTATAATCATTGTTATAAGGGAACCAAAACACTTTTAACACCAGTTGAAAATGCCGGTTTCCAACAGAAATTTTAAATTGTTCACATTTTTTAAGTTACCTTAGCACACAGTAAGAATGTTTTTGTCTTTTTCCAACAAAGTTAATATTTCAGAGACACAAGGTTTTCTTTCCACAGCAATGATACGGAGAAAAACATATTGGAGAAGCTAAGAAAACTGTATATAAGTTATAATTTCTTTTTTTAAATATCTTGAAATAAGATAATATTTGTTAACCATTATTTTTATACAATTCTTTATTTATTAAAGTACCCAATACTCTCTGCATTTTACTAGCATTCAGTTATACAATAATCTATACCATCATTGTTTTGTAAATAATTAATTATTTATGAAATTACCCAATGTTCTCCTCATGTTCTTTAGCCATTATGTAAACAAAGGCTTGCCTGTGCCTTCCTGCCCCTGCACTGCTTACACTGCTGGCTGCAGTACAGGAGCAGCTCTGTGTGCCTGGAGGAGAACACTAAATGCCAGATCTGATGGTGCATCATTTATGTTGCAGAGAGGGGGATAGTGATATTTGTAAAATAGCAAATAGCACCACTGGGACTCCAGCATGGGTCCCAGCAGTAGAGCTCAATTCTGCACCGTACAGCACCTTTAACTGGATAAGCTGCTCAGGGACGCTTATTTTAACCGTGTATTTTAACTGTTACTGCTGCTAACTGGTTTAAGCATAGAATGCCCTGCACACTAATCTGCTCAACCTGTTTATGCTTCCTTTGTTCTTCCTCATTTCAGCCTCGGAAAAGGCAATCCCGGAGGTGTCATGGTATTTCTGGAAATATATTGGGAGTGCTTATTCTCTCATAAACACAGACACACACACGGACACATGCACACACACACGCATCTGTTTCTGCAGGGCTACTCACTTTCTGCTCATCCATGAACAGCAAAAAGAGGACGAAAGAGAGAAAGATGGTAAATATCAATTATAATAGTCAAACAAAACAGAACAAGAATCAGAGTCTTCAACAGGGCTGGCAGTAAGTACAAGACGCCCAAGAGATTTCTTATTAAACCCAATCAATTCAATCCATTTCTCTCTAAATTGCAATAAAAATACATAAAATACACAATAAACACAAAACAGTTTACAAGGAACATATGTATGGTTATGTGTATGTATATGTATGGTGAGCACTTAAGTTGCTAACAGCTGAAAAAGCCATCAATGTACAGAAATATGTTTGTATGTATTTTTGCACACCTCCAAAGTTCAGTCTCAGAGATTGGTTGTATTTTCTTTTTCTCATGATCCAGATAATCTCAAACACATGTAGTGATGTTGAGGTCTGGACTCTGTGGTGGCCAGTTCATTGTTTTGAAAACACCAGCAGCATCTTGGTGTGGTTTGTATATTTTCTTCTTTTTTGTCTATTTCCTTTTCTCAGTGAGGGCTTCTTAACAACAACCCATCCTTTCAGACTCATAGTGTTGAGTTGTCTTCTCACAGTGGAAGGATGAACAGAAACACCTGTGGATTTTTTCAGATTTGAAGCAGAGTAGAGCTTGATTTTCTCCTCTCTCTCAAAGATGAAAGCTTTGAGTACTGTTTATCTGATGATGACTGTTTTGGTGGTCTACCACGTCTTGCGTGGTTGTTTTCTGAACTTATTTTCCTTTGATTTTCCCTTAACATGTGGATTATCTTGTATTTAAGCACCTCAGGAATATCCCCTGAAAAATGAGCAACTTGTACTTAATGGCCATTATGAATAGAAATTAAATGAATAGAGGGTTTTCTCAAACTTTTGCAGGTTACTGTATGAAAGCTGTTTATTTCAGCAGAATAAATAAAAATAAGTAAATAAACAACAAATTGTTATTACAGATGTTTGTCAGTGAGTTACCTCTCTACCCAAGGAAGGCCAGTATTTACAGTTACCATCCAATACCTGAGTTTGGCTACTCAATCATTCATTACATTAAACCAGGTGTGCTGCGAAAGGAACTTAGCAAATAACATTTGCACACGACTGTGTTATGTAGGTCACATTAGCAATATGTTAAAGATAAAAAACAACAAATCAATATTAACAGAAACAGACAGAAACATAAATAACAAGACAGAAAACAATATAAACAGAATTGCTTACATGTTTGGAGATGTTTGAACTTCTTGTGTCCACATTGTACCTAAAAGAGAGAATAAATGTCTAAATGGAATAAACTAGCAATAACACTTCAAATACATCAGCTACATGAAGACATGGAGGAGTAATGTCCTCATAAACACACGGGCAAACTTTATTTTAAACCGGATTATAATTAGTCACAGGAAAGGTCTCAGAGAGGCGATTGAAAAGTAATTACAGAGAGAGAAGAAAATGATCCCCATTAGGGTGTGTGTGTGGTGGGAAGTGAGAGTGAAATGAGGAGCAGAGGGTCCACAGATTGCGCTCATTTCTTTTCTTTGAACATGCTCCATTTTCCTCCAGGCCGCAGGCTCCCACAGGGAGCCCTTAGGAGCTGACATGAATGAGACTCTGCAATGATTTTTGTTCGTGTTTGACAAAAAGAATCCTCTGTCTCCTTCCCTCGCTCTCTCTTTCTCTTCTTGCTCACTATCTGCTCTCACATCTTCTGGAGCATCATATTCTACAGTGCTGTTTTATTACTGAGCTCAAACAAACACACACACATACTCACAGACTGAGGGTGCATGATATATGGTGACTGATATATCGCTCGCTGATAAACAGGATAAAATAATTGTTACGGTTATGATATTGGAATTACAGCTGATAATTATCATGACATTTTTTTATAATTTTGCACACATGAAAAGACAGATGTATGGCCACACTCTGATGCTGCAGAGTGAAAGTGTCAGTGAGAGTAAAGTTCATCACAGTTCCCACAGAGTATAACATGTTGTTTGCAGTAAATATTCAGCCAAAGTACAGTGAGGTGGAAATGCACTAAAGACAATAGTACTAATATAATTAGTCATTTGGAAGCAAATCATTTCGGTGATCTAGCCTGAAGAACATGGTCCATGGACTTTGGGGACACCTGGGCTGTGGCCCAACCTATTTGTGTTTTAACCAACTAGTCCGTCATTGTTCAAATTCATATTTTTATTGCACATGCACCAATAAGCCAAAACATCATGACCACTCACAAAAAAGTTTGATTACCTTGTAAAAATGGCACATTTCAAGGTCTGGGATATATTAGATGGTAAGCGAACAGTCGGTTTATGTAGTCAACGTGTTGGATGCAGGAGAAAAGGCCAGGTGTGAAGACAAAATGTATGGCCAGACAACTGGGTCAGAGCAGAAACAGCAAGGCCTGTGAGGTGCCCCTGGTCAGCAGTCAGTAGTACCTACAGACAGTGTTCCGAGGAGGGACAAACCACGAAACGGCGACAGTGCTAGGTGCCCAGGGCTCATCTAAGGGCAATGAAGACTATACCACCTGGTCAGAACTGATAGGAGGGCTACTGTGACACATGTCACAGAAAATTTTAATGACGGTTATGAGGGGAAAGTGTCACAACACACACTCATGGGCACCCCTGCTGCATGTGGGGTGCCCATGAGTGCCCACGCTAACCCACCATCCAAAGCAACTGGCTTGCAAATGTCAGAATTGGACCTAGGGGTAATGGAAGAAAGCCCTGTCCTCTTGTTCTCATCACATTGATGGCCGGGTACGTGAGAGTGGTTCACCTGGGGAAGTAATGGCACTGGGATGCACTGTGGGAAGAGGATGATGCTCTGGACAATGTTCTGCTGGGTCTGTGCCAACTACCTAAACATTGGTGCAGACCAGGTACACTCTTTCAGGGCAAGGGTATTCCCCAAAGGAATCCATGCTTCGGTAGCACACGGGGGACCAACAGCATATCAGGATGGTGGTTACAGTGTTCTGGCTCAACAGTGTACATTCTTGGTTGTCCTTACAGTGCTATAAAAACAAAGACTCTTAATGTAACTTAGAGGCATATTGGGTCTTTGTGTGTAACATTCAATGCAATAGAAATCTGAAGTTGTATCATACTGCTGTAGTTGGGGTCAAGCCCATATTAGGAACTATTAGGAAGGCTTAAGATGATTTTCTCTATGGGAAAAATTGCTGTTTTAGAAAGTGCAAGGTTGTTTGTAGCATGTATGTAGCCTTATTCTATTCTTTTGACTGCTAAACGACCATTTAATGGATTCAGTGACATGTAGGAAGAAAATGTCAGCTTGAGAATATATTTTTGTTTACCACAGGGCACAATAACGAATGGCATTTAAAAAAAAGACTCACAACTTCAGAGCTCTACAGAAATTAATTTTACTTGACCTCAGCTTTTTTATGATTGCTTGGTTTAATTCTGTACTTGAATTGAAACAGTCAGGACACTCTCTGAAAGCTTGGACAAACTACCAACTATCATATGATTCTGGGAGTGACTACAAACACGGTGTCGTCTTGATCGTGATGAAGACTACAGACAGTAACAGCTTTGAAACAAAAGAATGAAATGCCAATAAAGAATAACTGATTTCTTCAAATCAAAGCAAATCAAAGAGGGAACTGTGGCATGCAGCACTCAGGGACCCATCATGGCTGACATCCAAGCTATTGACTTAGATGAGTGTGAGGAAACTGGGGGCAGGGCATTGATGCCTGGCTCCACCCATCAAAAATACAGTCCAGAGTAAAGGATATGAGGCAGCTAACGTTAGCAGCTGGCATCAAATTTCAACTTGACTTACACTCAAAGCAAAAAAGAAAACTTGGTCTTACCCTCAACAAGATTTTGATTATCTTCCTGGTGCATCCCCAGCACAGACACACTCACACAGTCCAAACCCTATAGTTTTCTTCTAGTTAAATATTGCTCTTCCTGGTATGAAGCATTGTTTTTACCAGGATGGATATATATTTGAATTCATCCTCACTCTCTGTGTGTCTCTCTGGTCAGGCCAGAACTGGCCGGACAGATGGACATGTGAAAGCTCCGCTCATGTGATAAGCAGCATGTGACAGGCCCGGACCCCAAAGGGGTGCATGATGGACGGGCTGGAGGCGCAGCAGCTCACCGGGACAGCGCTCAGGAGCTAAGGGGATAGTGCTCGGGACAGGGCGGGAATGCTCAATGTGGATGCAGTGATTCACCTGTTCACTCAGCGTAGTGAGGAGAAAGCAAGAATGTTCAAAAAGTCACCAAAGTCAACGGCTCCACTTTTTCCATCAGCTTCCAGGCTAAATATCTCTAAAGTGCCGTCACTGCAATCCACCTCATCTAAAGTGCATTTTGTCTTCGTCTTTTTATCTTCTTCTCATCCTTTCTACTGTTTCTCCACCTTCTCTTTTATCTCCAACTAAACTTTTTCATTCTCATGTTTTGGTCACTCTCTTTTGCTCTTTCTTTTTCCCTCACTCTCTCGTTCTCCCTCTCACTCTTTATTCTCTTCCTTTGCTCTCACTCTCACCACTCTTACTCTCTCCTTTTTCTTTCAATCTTTCTCTCTCTCTCTCTCTCTCACACACACACACACATGCGCACTCTCTTCCCTCACTCTAGCTCTCTCTCTCTCTCTCTCTCTCTCTCTCTCTCTCTCTCTCTCTCTTGCTCACATTTGCAGCGAATGAGAGCTCTTCTGGTTTGTGCCTGAATCAAAATGAAATTATGGCACAGTGCGAGGCCCCACGAGCGCTGCTGAAATGAGATTTAGCACATGAGGATGATAAACTCACTCAAAAATGTAATGGTGCTCATTTACATACAGCAATGACAATATGTAGCAGAGGTAGTCCCTGTAATTCAGACAAAAAAAAAGCTTCCATTAAAAAACGTCCTGTTACACACACCCAGCAAAACACTCGGGCAAATAATGATTTTAAACAAGGCACAGTGAGCGAGTAACAGCGTTTTTCTGTTCCAATTTTAAGAGGTGCTACAGCGGAATGAGAAATTAAATTACTTTTGTAGCTGTGTTTGCTTATGGCGAGCACGAGGCCCTGTGTCCAGTTCTCTTTCCTAATCACGACAATAAGAACACAGTTTCCCTTTCAGCATGGAGTCACGGCTTCATATCTCCTGCAGATGCGACTGACTCACTCATATCTGCCCAGTTACAGCTGTGCTGTCAGATAGATAGAGCTTCAGTTCAGCATGATTGGAGCACTGAAATATCGCTTTGATATGACCTTTGAAAGGAAGAAGGCAGAATAACTTCCAGTTAAGAGAGAGACGGATCGATTCCGGGACGAAACTCTGAGTCTGAATGGTGCACAATGTAAAGTTCAAAATATCTGTAAGATACTAACTATTTAAAATGAGGAAAACTCTAACAGACGTGCGTTTGTGAATTATCCCATGGATACTAATGCCATGCCAGTCAAATACCTTTTCATTTGACTACAATGATCTACTATTCACAGACTGATACAGAATGTATTTATAAAAAGGCTTTCATTTCATTTAAAAAAAATATTTTTGGTGGATCATGTAAACATTATTAAAGTTTCAAAATGTACTGTTCACTTTCCTGGAATTCATTATTGTTGGGTCACAACCTTCTCAATCTACAACATTCAATTACAGCAGACACTGAAGTGATAAGGAGTGTTGTTACTGCAGACAGTCTACAACACAGGGATTAGTAGCAGATGAGACAGCAAAGAATAATTAAACTTTCTGCTGTTCCAGGCTGCCAGGATGCAAATGTAGCAATACAGCCTTCCAAAGTCATCCAAAAGAAGTGAATGATGTTCAGTTTTTCTGATTTACTGCAAGATATCATTTTGAACTTAACAGTTTGTTCTAAATATTTTAGCCAAGACATTCATTATTTGTAATTTGTGAATTAGTCAATCAATCAGAACAGTGATCATTTACATATGTGAGACTTAAAAGGAACAGTGACAAAACCAGCCAGTTTAATTCTAAAGTATAAAGAGATATAAATGATTTTTGGTACAAAAAAATACATGAACTTTTAAGAAATAAAATACTTGCAAAATATAGAATATGGACCCCTTAAGGAAAAACATGTTGTGTAGCATATATATCGCTGCTGTCAGAACAAAACCTTGTATCTCCATGTTTGTCATTTTGTACTTTTTTACAGAATTTGAAAATACCAGCTGACCTTTACAATATGCCAAAATTTCATGATGAACGGAACAACAGAAAT